TGTGTGTGTGTGTGTGTGTGTGTGTGTGTGTGTGTGTGTTGGGTCAGTGAGCTTCAGTCTGGGCGGTAATGTGAGACCAGATGAAACACTCAGCCATCAGCACATTCCTGTGGGCCTCAGTTTTCTTCAGCTGGAGGAAAGAAAGAAATAGAGATTACAGAGAAAGAGAGAAAACCAAGCTGCAGTAAACATGTCATCCACTATAAGTGATTCAGTTGCCTCCTGGGTCGTTTAGTAACATTTATAATCATAACGCAATAACCGTACCACCTCTCATCAGAGCAGTATGTATACATCTGTATACAGATAATGATATGCTTTGTGGAGGCGCTGCACAAATCTGCCTGCAGCCTCGCTCGCTTCATGACGGTGGTTGAGGAATTTACTTGCCACAAATATCGTCTGAATATGTGCGAACCAGACTGAGAAACAGAGAGCTGACTTCAAAGGCTTGTTGTGATGTGGCTGCAGAAGCCATCATTACATTTATAAAATCTGTGCACCCAGACTTTTGTTTATTAAGATAGATCAGGATTTAGATCAATTGAAGCGGCCGCTCGTCCTGTCAGACTCAACAACACATCCAATGTTTGAAAGTTTAGTCTGCAAAAAGGACAGCGTGAAGGTACCTGTAGTCATGACAACCTGTGGTATCTTTTCAGCCAACCCTGTTTCACTTTCTTAATGGCGTGTAAGAGAACAGTCCGAACAGCCTCTGTTGATTTGTTAGCAGATGGCAGTCGACACAAAAACTCTTTCCTCCTCCACTAGCTAACATGGAAAAGGTGGTTTTGCAAGAAGTGAACATTCCATGGACGCAACATTTATAGTTCCAATGGAAATTTTTCTGGGCGTGGTGGATACGTTTCTCAATGATATCTAAAGATGGACAATGCTTCTCCACACTTCCTGCCAAAAAAACTGAAGCCAAAATTTCCTCTATATGGCCGTAGCCACCTTACCCTTTTGACGTCACTTTTTTATGCATATGTCTCCAATTCTTCATCAACAGCATTTCAGGTCATTATGGTGTCACGGACAAAGATTGCCACTTTAGAGAGCTGCTGACAAATCCTAAATACAGATGGAATCATTTGCATAAGTTAACATCTGAATGCATTGCACACAAACACTATGTAAAAAATAATGCAAGCATCAGACTTGTATAATCCCAACATTGTTTCAAATGTGGAGAAGCAGCCACATTGCTGGTGAAGGTGATGGGATTGTGAGGCAGCAGAGTCCCGGCTGCTGTTATTTTTGCTTTTTGCTTTGTTCAGCTCTCTGTTAGAAGCACTGACTGCCCCTCTGCCTCGTTTCCTCCACTCTTTTCCCCGTTTTTCTGATTCAGCCCACCCTTTTTTACACACCACATCCTTCTCTCCTCTGCATGCGGAGGAAAAAAAAAATAAAAACGCAGACTCCACGGTTATTATCCAGCTGGAACTGCTCATGGAGGCCATTCTGTCTGTATTTAATTCATTACCAACCAGAGAAACAGATTTTGAATACTCCCTAGGCACATAATGTGTTTTCATTTACATTGGATTGTTAGTGACACTTTGATTCTCAGACTGACATCCCCAGAACTGGGGGGGTTGCTTGGATACACTTGACTTCAGGTCCAACAGTGACATCCTACCTGGTTTCTTGTCTTAGGGGCGATTTAAGAGAGAGGTCGAAAGGTCAGCATTAATCTTGTGACCGGAAAGTAGCCAGCGGTGAACCCAGTGCAGCCATGGAAAAAAGTACTCTGGGAAATTCAATGGAAAGCTCTCTTTCCCCCATCAGCAAGAAGAAGCCTCGAGGTTTGACAGATGAGGAAAATCCTCCACAGCGAGACCACTTTTCTGCTTCGCTCTTCCATAACAGGCTCACTGGGAATAAGTGAACAGAACCCACATTACAAGCTTAGGATAATGGTTTAACTTAATATGTTAATGAATTCTGTTCCTCACATGGTTACAACACTCACTTTGTTTCATTACTTCACATAATGTCAATCAAATATTGAGCAATAACACAGATTGTTTAAATCTATATATATTTATATATATTATACTGAGCAATACAAGCATTCATATGCATTATTGCTGTGAATTTAATAAATCTTAGTACAACATCAACTCTTCCTTAAGCTCTGGTTTGTTCAACTCCTGTAGGACACATCTGGGTAAATGCATGTTTTCATCAGCTAAATACTTTCTGTCTGAAGTGAAGCCAGAGCCTCTCAATTGTTAGTGGATGGGACATGAACCAAACTAAATATTTAAAGTGCATATCAAATTGTTCTCAAAGAGGATTTCTGTCATTGTAGTTCTTATTACACTGATGTTTGGTTTTAAGTAGTCGCAACAAAAATGAGGTGAGATTATGATTTACAGCTGATGATTGGTCGAGGGCGTGTATCGGCAGGACCCCGCTACTGTGGCGCCATCCCCTGATCACTGCACAGACTCATGCTCCAATTGTGCAAGACGGCAGCCTGGGATATTTTTGTTTCATTTCTGGATGGCGGGAGGAAGTGGAAACGTATTGCTAAATCCGATGGCAACTGTAACCTGTGTTCGTATGTGTGTCTCTGTTACGTGTTGGAGTTTAAGTTATGTAGTCCTGGTCACACTGAGTCAAGACACATTACTGGGATCATCAATTAGATATTAACAAGACACAAAAACTGTGAGCTCTGTGTATGTGTGTGTGTGTATGTGCCCGTCCGTCCATCCTTGTGTCCAAAACCAGCTCCTTACTGCAGGCTGTGATCCGCACAAACAGTTCTACAATATACTGTCCATTTTTATTGTTTGTGTGCAGAGCTTTTTATAAACAGTCTATTGTGCAGAGTGAAGTTAGAAAACTTTGCGTTCATCCTACCTGGTAACTGATTTTGTGCTTTTACTTTGAAGACAAATTCCCCAACAGGAAGGGATTTTTTAATTTCATGCTGCTGTCATACACCCCCTCGTGTGTGGGTGGAGTATAGATATAATATTAACGCTTATTATCAATTTTCTGACTTCCATTTTGCAGCCCCATCTCCGAAAGTTCTGTCAGTCGAGAAACACACAAAAATCACACACACAAACTCTGTGGTGGAAGCTTGGAGGTCAACCTTTATTGATACTGTTCAAAAAAGTCATGTCAACAAATGAAGAAAATCATATACGTCTTTCATATTTGCTTCAGAACTGCTGTTTATACACTGGTTAACATAATGCATCTCTACTCATCTGACAGTGATAACAACTGCAGAACCTCCCTTTCAAGCACTGATGCTGCATTTATACTGTAATTCTTCCTGGCTGCGAATAAAGTTGTTATTATTATTATTATTATTAGGAGCAAATTAGAAAGGATGCATCACTGGGACCAAGGTAACGAAACCAAGGAATGTTCATTTCACAAATGAAATGGTGTCAGGGACGGAGATGAGACCTGCTTTGGTTTAGAGCTTGGGTCACTTGGCAACCTGACGGGAGTTAAAGGAGGAAGTCTAACTTAGGTGCAGTTTGATGTTGCAGCGAAACACAATGTAAACAGAATTGTGTAACTTAACAAATCATACCGGCCAAAGTCTGGTCAATTCTGTTTTTGTTTTGCTGCCAACGAGGTTCTGTTTTCACCCCTGTCTGTTTCTTTGCTGGTTGATTGGTTAGTTTGTGAACAAGGTAACACAAAAACTACAAGACAGTTCTCCACAAAACTAGACGGAAGGATGGGGTATGGGTCAGGTGTGAATCCATTAAATGTGTGTGGATCCAGGAACTTTTTCCACTTTCTTTAACATTGCAAGACGGGCTGTATGTTTTTCTACATGTCTCTTGATTTCTGAGGGAATAATTCATGGATCTTGATGTTAAAAATCTGACATTTTACGGGGTCTGATATTTCTAAGTGTGAATTTGGATCAGATCAAAATAAAAATCAGGACCTCATTAATTTAAATGTGGATTCATAAGGAGACTGCTTTGGAGGAGGTATGAACTCTGCCGAGTGCAATTTAGTTGAAACTGTACAAACAAAATGTCATCTCCATCTTTTTTCTTGATACTACAAACTGTTGGAAAATTATTAAGTCTCATAAAATGGAAATTGTTCCCAAAACGTTTGTCTATTTTAGCGATGAAGAAATAAGCTATGAGGGTTGTGGGAATGCAGTCAAATTTGATGCTTGAAACGTTTTAGCGACATTCACATTTACCTTATTATATTCATTTAACAGTTCCACACACCCACTATTATGAGTTGATTCAACTCCAGCAGGCCAATTAAAATTTTAAAAGGTTTATTATACTAGTTTGTGAAACAATTTACATGACAGGACTTTTCCCTCAGCAGTGGAGACTCTGCGACTGATTACAAATTCATGTGGTGACACAATGCTACCGGACATATCTGAACGACGTATGCGTAAAAATGAAAAGTACAAAAAAAGAAAAGTCAAGTGAAAAAACTCCATAAGGCACTGGATATAGAAATACCAGCATATTCCAACTGATTTTCTAAAGACAACATCTCAAACCTTTTTTATTATTCAGTTTTAGAGGAATTATGTTTTTTCAGAATATGGGACAATAGTGGCGTCTTTTCAGCTGCTAGAAAAGAGCTTCACACATAATGCCAAGATTCACACAATTGTGTTTTTATCTTCCCAATTTCCACACCACTGTAAACGGTTTACATTCAGTTTCAGTGAAGGTTTTTTTTTTTTTTAGGCAGATTATTCGGGCCATGTTGAAGAAATAAATTCCAAAACAAAAATTCAAACTCCCACAAGCCTGCGTTCTCATATTGTAGTTTTTCAGAGTAGCTGAGGGTTGAGAAATGCTGGTAATCCTTATATGACTTTTATCTGACAATGTGTTGTGTTTCTAAAGTCTGCGCACAGTGTCCGTCTTGGTGGTTGGACACCTTGTCGATATTCAAGTACTCTCCTATATTCCTCTCGGGGGAGTAAAATAAATTAGATGCTCTTTGAACTGCCCTGCAGTTGCAATGTGACCTGCAATGTGACTGGTGATGATAAAACTGAAGATATAAAACACACATAATGGTATCAAGTAAAAAAAAAAATGTGAGGAGAGACGTTTAACCTGCTTGCTTGATTTCATATACGTTTCAATGTTCCGATGCTAACAACAAACAAATACATACTGTAGTTGCCCAGCGGTCTATGTGCGCAGATACCAAAGTAAAAAAACCACAAAATAAAAAATATATAATGCTGGAATCTTAATTCAACTACATGAAAAGGTGGTTAAGGCTTCAAGGTTAAGGCCTCAAAGACATAGCATTGAAAAACACATCTCAAACATTTTGTAAAAAACCTTCCATATAACATCTGTACACTTCCCTGACACTGTTACTGTCATCGCTTTATTAGAGCGCTGGAATCTGTTGGCTTCGCATGTTGTCGGATAAAAGAAACAAAACAAAAAGGTGGAAAAAACTAAACTAAATATTTTAACAAATCACATGTTTTTTTTCTTTGTTTCTAAACACTTTTAACAACACAATTGATTAACTTCGCTTGGAAATCAAATTCCACAAAACCTCACTCCAATGGAGCTTAACTTTCCATGTACAAACTGCTTTTCAACTTCGTTCTCAATTACAATGGCATAACTCAGTAGTTGATTAAAATAAAACAAGTTTCATCCATTGCATTATTCTTCTGTGGACTTCCCTGTCCCAACATGCTTTGCTGTCCAGCAACAATCCCCCCAACACAAAGTTAAAGTATTTCTTGTTCGCTCTGTATGGTTTGAAATGTGAAGTCAAACAGACTGAATATGTGTTTTCAATGATTTCACTTTAGCACATAAAACTGGTTCGTAAAATGTCAGTCTTTATAGCAACTGTCTTTGGTATTAAAACATTTTCATGCTTTGTCGTAGCATGTGTGAAATGACTCAACTGTTTAACTTGACACTCTCCCATACGAGAAGAACAGAGTGACAGGGATTCAAAATCTTTGGCTTATAGCAGGAGTATCTTTGGCCCAGGTAGAAGGTCCACGGCCTTCAAATTGAAAGAACTGGTCAACAGAGCGGTAAGTCTGTGTATCAAAGCCAGGGTGTTTGGGGAGGGGCTTTGTCTATGAGATTCAGGGTTGGAGGCTGGGCGGGGGGCGCGATGGCGGCGGACAGGGAAGCCCAGGGGGCGTGCGGGACGGTGGCAGACCTGGGAGTACCGGGCCTGATGGGGGCAATCTGGCAGGAGGGCTGGTGGAGGTGGGAGACGAGGAGGCGGTGCGAGTCACGGGGCGGTAGTCAGGTGGCGGCGGCGAGGGCGTGTGGATGGGAGTGCGAGGTGGGGCCTTGGCTGCTGCTGACTCGTCCTTCACTCTTGTGAAGTTGATGCAACGACCCTAAAGGAAAGAAAGGACACATGTTGGATTTAAAAATGTACAAGTAATTCAATACTTTTTCACCACTTTAGAAAGAAATTTCTTAAAACAGCTGGATGAACTGTTTTTAAATTTAGTGCAGATTCATGGTTCCCAGAGGATGAATCCTTGGTGATTCCATGACTTTTAAATGAGGGGCCATCACAGAATCAATTTTGTTGCTCATCCAGTGAAGATAGTGACAGTAACATTACACCTGACAGCATCATGCTTGGTTTGACCTGCTCACACTGTGGCCTGACAACAGATGCACAGCAGAAAATGACTGAATGCAAAGTATAACAGATAAGTTATATTAATATAGAACCAGGTTAGAGTATGCAAAAGATACAATCTAGTAAAAATGTATGGGCACAAACAGACAGTGACATCATTCAGCCATAGGGTCATGGTACGGTCTTGTTCTTTGTGTGTCTGTGCCGGTTTCTGTGTGTGTGTGCGTGCGACCAGCTGGTGTTCCAGATTACATCTAAATCCCCACTTTGATGACCCATTTCAAATGATCCCGGCTAGTCTGATGTTCTGTCCCGACAACCGTGACTCGCTTAACAAAGTTCTTCTCTTCAGGATGGGACCATATGGAGGGGTGGGGTCAAATGTAGCAGTTTATCTAGAACTTTATAAAAACAACTTATCGCCCTGTAAAACAAATTACTTTGTCCTGTCAGAAATCATATTTCTCCCCATGAACCTTGTTTCAGACTTTCATGTGTGAAAGTGCAATGAGCAAAGTGTCTGTCTCTAACACATATACAGTAGATAGTCACAGAGAGGCCGTGTTTGGCAGAAAATCAACGAAAGCGGTCACAGAGGACACATTCCAGTTATCCCCTCTGCTAAATTAGCCTCTGAGAGCAGACACAAAAGTTGAATAAACATAGGGGGGGGAAAAGGATGAGAATGTGGCAGTGACCTCCAGTTTCTGGTCTGTCACCACTTATCCAGTATGGTATTCCAACACATCCATACGAGGATCTAGTCAGATTCTTCAAAACTTTTCTGGCATCGTGGAAATACCCGTGGAGAGGAGAAGTGTGTCTGCCTTCTTTTTTAACATGAATGAATTCTCTGAACTAGATTCAAGGCGAGACAAACAAAAGATGGCTTGTTTTCTTTTCCAGCTGTTAGAGATATAACCTACAATGGGTTAAACTAGTTGAACCAATAGTTATGTGCTTTGCTTCAAGTACATTGTTCTGTTAACACCCAGCTGTGGCCTGGAGCTCTGCATATTTTCCTGAATTGAGAAAAAAAAAAAAAAAGCCACGCTCACTAATTTTTTTCTCGCTGATCTCCTCGACTGTCTGTAGTCTCACCAAGGTCATAAAATGGTCTAGGCAAAGCGTGTGCGTGTGTGTGCGTGTGTGTGTGGGACACATGGGTAGTTGGTCGATGGAGACAGCCTTGGCAGTCGTCTGCCTTAGGTATTACCTCATGTCCTTTAGCCAGCTAAATGCTTCCCTGGGGAGGCTTGTGTTTATGTGAATGAGAGAGAGAGACTGTTGAGCGAGGACTAGCTCGCTCTACCTCATACTGTACTCTGATGTCAGGGTAATGGTTCGGTGGTTTGGTGACACACTAATAATGGCTCTTATCTTAAATTTAGATGGCTTCATCCTAGTGGCTTTAACTCTAGACTTTCTCTAGCAAACTCTCTGGTTATGTTTTATACAAGGGGGGGGGGGGGGTCTAGCGGGTTGTCCACTAACCACAAAAACGGTTGTTCAATCCCAGACTCCTCCAGCCCGCATTCCAAAAGTGTCCTTGGGCAAGAGACTGAATCCCAAATTACCCATGATGCCTGTAACGGCAGTGTGTGATAGAGGAAGCACAGCAAATACTAATGCTGTCTGAATATTTGGGTAAATGTTGCTTGTACTCGAAAGTGCTTTGAGTGATTTATATGACTAGAAAAGTGCTAAATACATTCAGTCTGTTTTTGCATGCATGGACACAATGCAAATCTCAAGTGCCACATTAAGTTAAAAAACTTTGGGTTTGGCATCATAAACCTTTCTTTATGTTCTTCAGTATTACATAGTAAGTCTATGTACAATCACAGAAAATAAAGAATGCACTTACACAGATGTATCTATTACTTTTAAATAAATGTCATAATATTAAAAAGATAAATGTTTCTTAGGGTGCTTTCACACCAACCTTACTTGGTCCAAACTTTTGGATTCTTTTTTTTTTTGTTTAGTCTGAACCAAAATAAAAGGTGTGAAAGGAGCCTCGGACCAATGGTCCAGATAAACACACTAAAAGTTAGTCTGATCAAAAGATGTGTTCACAGTCTGGATCACACTGAACCATGGTTTGATTCGTTTGCAGTGGGAAAACATTTTTTCGATAGGACATACAGACAAATTGCAGGAAGTTTAAACATAATTAAACATTTGAAGAAATTACAGACATGATTGCTTGCAGTCTTGCAGTAATGTCGACATCATTAGAGCGGAAAGTGACACACAAGTTTTTCTGCGGAAAAATGAATTGCGTCATGCTGTCGTTGCTAAAAGCTTTGGGTAAGGGAAATTTGTCGACAAAAGAAATCAAATCCAAAAAGCCTTTTTTTTAAATGATCTTACTGCCTCTCTGCTTTACTAAAGACGCAGTCTTACAGTAATGACGGCATGATTTTGTCTCATGTGTCTTCAGTAAAGCTGAAAACGTATCTAGTGGCAAATCCGTCTGTATACCTGCTTGCCAGGAAAAACACTCTTAAATGTGGAATTCCTGTTAAAAAAGATCATTGGAAAATAATGTGCTAATAAGGCATGGTTTTTACAAGCGCTTAGGACGGGAACTGATCAGCAGGAGAGTTGGTTGTGGAGAGGAGGAGGAACTGAGAAGATGTGGGCCCAAATCCTCTTTGTGTCATATATTGCAACATATTGCAGCATGTGAATTGCTTTTAAAATGCCAAAAAGGAATCCCACAGTTTATCTGTACCATGTACCACTACATTTCTCAATGCCCATCAGGGCTAATGAAGGTGGAAACAGTTGTAAAGAATTACCCAAACATATTTTAAGAATAAAACATTTGCTAAATGTGTCGGGGAGATTTAAAACATCCCTCAAGAGCTTCAGAACTCAGTGAACTTCCATCCTCTCTCTACATCTGACCCATCCAGGCCTGTTTGATACAAAGGCTCTGGGCTTTAAAACTAAACCATGTGACTGATCCCGAAAAAAGAGGAATGAATCTTTAGCAACACACACACACACACACACACAAACAAATCAGACAACTCATGGATGTTTCTGAGTGCGAGCTGCAGTTCGGCTTTCTATTTGATTTATAGCGCTTAATGTGAAGCAGGTGTGAGAATGAGACGGGCCGAACGGGACGGAGACGATGTTAGCCAGTGAGGAACACCAGGAGTGAATGACACGGAGATAGGATGAGTAATCTGTGCAGATGTCTGAAACATTTTCAAACACTGGGGCAGTTTCAAAACTGAGCCCCTCTGCTGCAGGAGAACGGGTTTTGAAGCTTTTTCACATCCCTCAGACAAAACATTTGTAACACACTTGACTGTACAACTGAAAAATGTACCCTCTGTTACTTGATTCATCATAAATGACCAAACCTTGACATTTGGCAGCATAAAAGCTGCTGGAAGTATGTTTCTGAACTTCATGTTAAAGTGATGTGACATGGGACTGTAGTAAGAGTCATACTGTGTATGTGCATGTATTGTATACAGCTGAGGAACTCACATGATCCCCGGGCTGGGGTCTCATCAGAGAGACCTGGTCATACCCACGGCGAAACAGAGCCCAGATAGCATCCAGTTTACCCTAGGGACGGAGAAATTGAGATGATTAACAGCTGACCACATCTGGACACCAAACTCTTCCACAACACAATCCATACCTTAATCAAATCCTATTTACACTGATTCTAGTGTGACAGTATACATCTGTTCTGTGGTTCTTAGTCAAACAAATATTACAGCAGCTGATTGTGCTGGTAAGTTCCTTCCTCTCCGGTCGAAGCATTTAGTCACTGATTAGTCACTACAGATTAATTAGGACTTTTTTTTTCCAGCACTTGTGAATTTAGAACATGAACAAACGAACCTCTAACTCCCTACAAATAAATCTTTCCATAAATGAAGCAGTTAACAGTTTCCTTTTCTCAAATGAATCTTACAACCTTAAACAGAAATACCGCCCTGTGATAGTGTGCCTTTACCCACTGGTACAGTTTCAGCTGGCATCATTTTTTTTCCAGACTCATGAGGTCACACCGTTAGCTGTGACCATTGAAATCTAACCTCTTAATATTTGAGGCGTATGTACTGACGAACAACCCGACATCATAATGCCTCCAGCCACTGGGTGTTGCTGGTGTGGAGGCACAAAAAAAAAAGAAGCACAAGCTTACTTTAAATTCACAGGAGAGATATGTCGATCCTAACAGAAACAATAGTCCAGAGCATAGGAAATAAACGGCTGAACAGGAACCAAGCACAGCCAAACACACAGAGAGGAGTCAGAATATACATTTCCTACAGTGACTGTGATGTATGGATAATGCACAATCTCAATATGAATCACTGCAGTGCTGTCTGTGGGGCTGTGGCTTATTAAAATGCAGCCCTCAAAGTTGTAAGGTTGCAGTATGTACAGATAACAGTGCTGCTACTGTATAAAAGGCCGGAGCTACTGCACAGAGCTGTATTGTAGTGTATGATTGAAGCACAAACAGCCCTGACGCCAAGTCTAATAATGTCTGACTGTCTGCACGATATGTTACATTACTAGCTACGTATGCACACCGATAGCTGTTGAATTTTGTACTTATGCCACAAATTATACAAAAACATGAGTGAGCAGGCTTTATCCCTCCCTGCTGGCTTGTGAAAACTTTGCAGCTCCACTTGCGGTGCTTTTCATGCTTCAACTTCAGCTGAAGGCTTTCAGGCGCTGCAGTGGGTTGAGAAGATTTTGCCACCCTCAGTTATTTGAAACTCAAACGGGCATGATGTCAAGAATGCACAGTGGTCAAACTGTAAATAAGGCAGATTGAGATTTTTTTTTTCCTGAGTTCCTGAAAAGCTGGTGTTCAGTTTCAGAGACTAAAAGATGCACTTAAATGCTTTGAATGCTCTTCTGTAGCTTATCGGCCTAAGTCAGTCCATTAATGCTATTATTCTATGTATCTAACAACACAGTGCCACATTGTCTGCTGGTCCTGAGGGAAACTGAGGCAGTGTTTACCCGGATGGGTGTGTACCACTTCCGGTTCTGAGTAGGCTTCTTGTTGTGAGCTTTCTTGGGTTTGGGCTCGAAGGGTTCGTACTCCTGCTCCGGCATTTTCACCACAGCGTTCTTCGGCTTCTCCAGCTTCGCTCCCTCCTCGGTCGAACCCTTTCCTCCCCAACGCACCTACACACAACAGGACATACAAGTAGTGAGTCTTACCTACACTAGTGTGATTTAAATCTGCTTTTTATGAGTGGTGCATTCAAGGATCGCCTATTAGCATCATGCATGTCATTCTGTCACCTCCATCCTCTTGATCCCTCCAATTCCTCTTCCCCCATAATATGAAGCATCCACAGTGGGCCACTTCTTCTTAGGCTGACCATCTTCATCATCGGACTCCTAAATCCAAAACAAGGACATTAAAACAGACTGTTTATTGGCTTATATACTTTTTTGAAGGTATTAAGGGAAACATGTCGTGGGCTACTTGAGCCCTTGCTTTTTCAATTGTGCCTTAATTTCACTGCCCTACAGCCACCTCACTCTCTTTCACGTGAACAGTGGGAACAAAAGATTTCCATCTCTGCGAAGGGCAAGGTGAAAAGAGGACTTTTGTAGTTTTAAATCCAGTCCACACATGCACAAACATATTGGTGGGATAGCTAAGTTTGAAGCATTCTCCCTGTGTTTGTGTGTGTGTGTGTGTGTGTTTTGACTCACAGGCTCAGGAGGAGGTGGAGGAGGAGGTTCTTTGATTACCTGTGGAAAAATAAGACACATGTTGACTTCTCTCTAACACTGGCAACTCTCAAAGGACCTTTTTGTTGTGACCCCCCTGCAGAGCACATAAGCCCCTCGGAGTCTAACCAAACCCCTTTGAAGCTCTTGATCGTTTAAAACTGGCGACTTCCTGCGTGTAGTTTTTGTTTCTTACCACAGTGCAGCAGAGAGGCCAGAACCACCACATGAAGAGCATGGCCAGCAGTAGGAACAGTACCAGCAGGGTGATGAGGAGAATAGTGCCATCGAACTGGTGAGAAGCAGCACATGGAGGTTGAACATTACTATAACAGCACCAAGGCTGACACAGACATTTCAACTACAAAAAAATGTGGTTTTAAATGACCTCAGAGTTTTCCCAAGGGCCCAAGGAGCTGCAGAGTAGACTTTGGAAACAGGATGTGTTCAATATTGATAAACTATGATTAAACAGGTGACCAGCGCTCTTTGTGCAGCAGCGGTGGTGCAGCTTTAGAGTCCTGGGGACTCAGATGTTTACTTGGTGCAGCTAAACTACCACAGGTCACAGTTTCAGAAAGAAATATATCAATTTAGTAGCAGTTAATGTGCAGTACATGTAGCACATAGTAACAGTGTAACAGTATTAATATGAAGCTTGAAGACTGAATCTCTTTCTCGACGACAGTGGTTCATGTCATTTGCAGGCATCTGTCCAAACATGGTTCCCATTACAGATCACAGATGTTGATCACATGTGGTTAAACTTTCCTTTATCTAGCTCATGGCAAAGACTTGAGGGGGTGGCTTTATGTGAGCTCACCAGTGGGGGCCATTGCACATCACTGACACCAAATCTTGTGAGGTAATGGTATTGGGAAAGATTTTTGGGCAGTGGCCACATTTACGTTCTGTATGAAGTGTGTTTTTTCTTTCCCCAAATGAAATGGACATATTTTATGGACAAACTACAAAGACGGAAACCCCTCGATGTGGCAGTTTGACAGTGTTGGGAGGGGTTGTGAAGCTTTTCTTAATCCTTAATTTATACATTGCATGTTGTTTATTGCACCAGGCCAACCCATCTCCAGTTAGCAGCTTGTTGTGCCATCTCAAGCCTTGTGTGACTTCAGCCTATATGGTTTTAGTGGCGAGAGGCGGCTAATTGCAATGGTATGTCTAATTGAGCTCTGTATATCACTAACCACAACAGAGCAGTGTGATTTCAGAGTTTTCATGGATATGATGTCAGATGAACTGAGGAGGAGACAGCTTCAAAGAGCATATTTCTTTTTGGCAGGGTGGGAATCCTTCTGCGGTTAAGTTCCGACATACGTGTTTTATTATGTTGAATTGCCTTAAAATGTCTTAAATTCTTTAATTTGGTTTTTCGGCAGGGAAGCTCCACCCTGCTTCACGCTGACCCAGCTATATACAGTCCCTCACCTGGGACCTTTACGAGTCACTGAGCCGATCTGTTACAGGATATGCCTCTCTTTCGCTTTTAGCTCGGCAGCATCACAGTCCTGAACTTGTTTCTCTAACCTCGAGTGTCCTGCCACCCTGAGGGTTGTTCAGATTGTCCTTTTTTTGGGGTGGATCTTTACTACCAACCCCCTGTTGTTTGGCTCCCAAGAAGGGGGAAAATAACAACATTTAGAAAGGAAAGATGAATGAGGTGAGGAAACTCACTGCAGAGAGCAAAACAACAGGCTTCTAAGAACAGTAGGTAAGAGATGGCGGGTGCAGAGGTTACAAGAAGACTGGAGACCACATGAAATTGAAGAATGAAAATCACTAAATCTCAAGAGTAAACCCTTAATATTATCTTTTTGAAAATTATTTGAACATAATATTTCAAACTAAGCCAACACCGGTGTCTGTGTTGAAAAGAAAATCACGTGATTGCCTTATGTTGGCCTGTCCAGGGTCTGAAGATTAAATGCCTGCAGATCGAATGCATTAATCAAAGACGGTATACGAAGCTCACACTTACACACTCTGTGGTGGTGATGTGCACATTGCTGCTGATGAAGGACAGACCGTCGTTCATGCTCACTTGGAGATAAATCACCCTGAAACAAAACGAGACAGACACACATGATTGTGTCAGTGTTGAGATAACATCTCTGTAACAGATGTAACATTGTCAGTTCACTCTGAGTTTGTTTAGCTCAGTTCAGTTAGTCATTGCCTCCTCTGTTAGAACTTGTGAAATAATTTCACAGAACCGGCAGCAAAATGTGAGGTGGTTAAAAAAAATTAGAAAAGCATTTGAAATGATCGGAATAAAAAAACCCCACAAAAACATACAGGATAATGACACAGGATTTTCAAGCTGAAGACAAAGTGATTTTAGGTTGATGCTCATATTCAGATACCTGTCTAATCTGTATAAATATACATTATATAAGAAGTATATAATTCTTATAATAATATAATAATTCCCATGATGAAATTGGTGTGATTTGGACACGTGATACATTCAATATTGATAAACTTTGTCAAAGACGTTTGTGGTGACAACAGCACCTTCACCATAACGAAAAAATGATTCTCCAGTTCAGGGTGTTGTGCATTGAGTCAACTTTGAATAAACAGGTAAACAGTTCTTTGTGCAGAGGTGATGGTGGCAAAGCTTCATGGTCGTGACTCAATGCTGCAGGTCACTGGTAGAAGAACTGCAACCAGTATCACCACAGACCAAACTAAACTAAACAGGCAGGTTTACAACAGGCTCTGCCATAGTTTCTTCTCATGTTTCAGAAACTGGAATCTGATTATTTAGGACTCTTTTCATCTGCCAAAAAGTGTCACCAGGACTCCAATAAAATAAGCTAGTCTTGAAATCTTTGTTTACTTGTCCACTTTCACTTGTCATCAATGAACTTGAACCCACACGAACCAAATACACAAGTTTTTCAACGTGGCTAAAAACACAGAGAAAATAGAAAAACAAATTGCAGGTGTGATCTTGTGACTCAGTGAGTCACACTGCAGAGGTCAACAGAGGAGAGGTGCATTTGAACAAAGTTGGAATGAGAAGAAAAATACACAACCTGCCTAAGTGTGTTTTATGGCTGTGGCCAGGTTGTGTGTTTTTCTCCGAGACATGACACCATATTAATTGCGTCTCAGGAATGAGAACCATCTCTCACACCCGCTGCAAAATGTCCTTCAGTGACACTGAGTTGTACAATGTTTGACAAACAACTCTCTGGATTGTAGCCTCCTGAGGTTTTTGGAATGGCGTGAGTTTTTCTTGATGGTCTGAATCCTTTCCTCCTGCGAGTGGTGGAAAAACAATTCTGAGAATTTCACGTGACGTCCTGTTGAAAGGAGTGTTTTCCCTCCCCCCACCGCTCTTATTTGGTCGAGGTCCAGGTGGATATGAATGAGGTCTGGCAGATGGAAAGCAGACCATGTGACCGATAAACCTGTCTTTACTCTGACTCAAAGAGCTGTCTGGGTTAAATAAGGAAAAAAGGAGCGAGGAGGGAGGCAAGAGTTGGGTTATTACAGATAGCACACGCAGCTCGCTGATGATAAACAGCTGGCTACCAAAGGACAGAGACCTCTGAGCTATAGCACTGGATATGAACCAAAAAGCACTGAAATGAAATAAACCCACTCAGGTTTAGGTTAAAAAAAACAGACAGATTGGTATAAATGAAATATATCCCTTCCAACATTCCAACATGGCCGACTGTGCGTGAGAGTGATGAAGCAAACGGAAAGTGTTTCTTTATTTTGAAGGACATAATAAAAACGTTGGTATGAAAAGGGTTTGTTTATTAGTTTTTACTTAAGTTATTTGTTTTTCTTCATACTTTAGAACTTTTGAAAGACTTTTGAACTTTGAATTTATCTTGGTCTAACTTTTTCCCTGTGAAACTTATTTAGAATTGGTGGACTTTTTCCTATTTGGTTTGGACTCTTTGTTAATTTCGTTGGTTTTGTATATTCAGATTTTTATTTCTTGTTTGGATTTGGTAGATCCTGTTCTATTTTGAATCTTTTAGCTGTGTCTCAGTGGCTGCATCCTTCGGAGGTGTCGTTGAAGACCCATGAAAGAGTCAGTCTTTGTAGGCCGGGTAGACAGCGTCCTCTGAAGGCTTTAGCCCCTGAATTTGCCTGCCACTAACCTGCCTGATTCACTTGCCTGCCTACTGAGAGCCCGATCACACATACACGAATGTATGGACCACTTGTGTACAGTTTAGCTTTTACCAATGTCCTCACACATCTGGGCACTGTAGTTTTTAGCAAACATTGCACAAGCAGGAGTAAATGTAGTATTCATTGGAGACTAGTTTCTATGGTGAACTGACACAGCTGGGTTTGTATTTAGCGTTTATGGCAAATCACAAATTACAGAGTCCATGTTGGGCAACAATGCAACAATAAGCTAAATTTGGGTTTAACTAAAGCGGCAACACTAGGATGAATCTATTGTTGTTTTTTCTCTTTTGGATAATGGAAATATAAAACATTACAAACCTTATAATTAAATTTTGTATACGTATGTCTCAGACGAGAAAGGATAGGATCCTAGCACATGACAGTAATTTAGTGTCTATATGTTAATTACCCAGTTGTTTTCTCTTCTTAAGGAAATAGCTTTCAGTTTTGTATTTTTTTCAAGGTTGGTTTGAGTTCAATTTCAAGTAAAAGTCTTTATCTTAACTGGTGCAGTAAAGTTGTTCCTCGACATAGCTACTCTTTTAATCCCCTTGTTTTCCTACTGGCACGTAACAATTGTGTAAAAATGTAGAGGAACTGTGTGTTGCTGGAGTAGCGGGGAGGAGATGTTTGTTGTAGAGCAGTGTCTGACAGCTCTCGAGGAGGGAAATGAAACAGACAGGGCAGATGGCTCAAGCATGAACTGACACACAAACACACACACTTGAAAGAGACGGTGCACACACATATTCATCTGCCATTCATTAGGTGGAGTGGGTCACCCTGCCTTAAAAGAAAAGTCTATGTTAAAGCACTTAAATATGGGCCCTGACATAGCCGGCATTATACAGAGGTTGTCTTCTTGTGTACAACTGGCAAAACATAACAACATTACGTCACATCCAGATGTTTCCAGCTGGATATATTTAGGCAGTTTAATGCCCTGTCCACAAAAAGGCGGACATTTTGCAAGATTAACATTTTCCTCTTTGTTTGAGCCTCTCGTCCACACACAAATGGTGTTTAAACGTAGGGAAACTATTCATTTAAATTATGATTATTTTTTCATTAGTGTAGACGAGGCCTAAAACATCAAGTCTTCTTTAAGCTTATATTTTGCACCAGCATGAAATAATTCTATGCTTGAACCTGATCAGGAATTGTAGCCAGTGTGACGTAGCAACAACATAAGCTAAGTTTTGTTAACATTGACAACATAAATCTCATCTTTGCTACCAAATATAAATCATTGCTTAATCTTACAAAGTCCTTAATTTGTCTGGGTTTCAGTGGAGCCATTGAAACACTCTCTTAAAGGATTTTCCACCCTGCTGAGCAGATAGGCTGCATGCAAACACACATGGCCACACACTTGAAAGCCCCGGGCCTGACTGTTGCAAGGCTTTGATCAGCCAAGACTGGACATGGAGGAAACTGAAGGAGAGCGGAGGACTGACAGGACATGAAAGAGGGAGATAAATAAATGACAGATACAGAAAGAAAAATGTGCAGACGGGCAGGAGGGGGGAAGGAGTGAGAAGAAGTCGGTGAATTGAGCCACCGTGGCACCAAAAGTGTAGATGGAGGCAGAGAGAAAAAGGAGGAGGGAGGGATAAATGTGGGATTGGAGTCAGGAGGTTAAGTGTTCATGCATGAAGCGATGGAAAATTTAAGGCAGAAAAAAAATATACAGAGACTGAACTGACTTAACTGGAGGTTTAAGAGAAGCAAAAGCACACAATGTACCGTATGCTCGGTTTCACTACCTCTCTTCCATGGTATCGATTAAAGCTTCAGTGTCCGAGTCATGAGTCCAGCTTGTTTAAATCTTTCACCCATGCAGTAAAAAACCAATCCTGCCTTCTCACACCACAGCTAGCATTAACTGTAAATGTGATTTATTACATCTGTTGCAGAATAAAATGAAGGAATTGTATTATAATTACAGGAACCCTTAAAAGGTCAAGAAAGTGTGCAATGAAAGACTGGTGCTCTCCGCCCCTCTGTCCCTCATTGTGTTTAAAGTCTTTAACCACCGTCAGCTGAACTATATATTCTGTGGCCTGCTGTACTTTTAGTCCCGTAAAGACTTTAGGTCAGAGAGGTTTAGCAGATTGTTTATGTTGGAACATGGTTGGGCTCTAAAAAGAGAGTACAGTCAGCCGATGAGGGGCGATTTTAGCCGCTTAACCAGAAAACGGTGTGTCTGTCGTGTGGTGAACGTTCGAGTAAACGAACCTCAGTCGTTCTCACAACCTGTCTTCTACATCCTTTTCTTCAGTGAGCCATAAAACATTTGTGTCTTATGAAAAAAATACATGTTTGCATATCGTCAATAGAACTGCTGTCGAAACAACAAACATCACATTTTTTCTCATGTATCTCAGTCTGAAGCCAAGAGCATCATACAACTGAGGTCCGAACTGGTGTGTTCTCACAGACAAACAATGAAGCACAACCATGAGTTTTTAATTAGAACTAGAAGGGCACTCGGAGTGCACGTACCTCCACTGAGGCTGACTAGCCACTTTATAACCATATTGCATATTGAGATCAGATACAAATACCATGGACACGTACCTCTTAGGAAAGCTTATTAACCCAAACTGTTGTTTCTTATTAACTCGTTAAGTCTCTCTTCAAAAAGTTCCACCACTGTTGAAATGTCTTTCTCATGTCTTACACTGCCCCCCCCAAGATTTCTGCTGGTACTGCTCGGTTTCATCTCCTTCTGTATCTGTAAGCTTTCAGAAGACGCAAATAAAATCCCGTTTTAATATCAAATGCTGATCAAATTTGAGCCTTAATGCTCCTTTTATTCAGTTGCTCATTTACGCATCTAGCAGACAGCAACATTACCATATAATATTTACTTATATTTTTAGCTCTGTTTTGGTTGCACACCGTATAACGCTGCTGTGAACAGTGAGACTCAAATACTAAAACTGTGGAGACCTTCTCTGTGGGTTTTCTCATAATAAGCAAGTTCAATTTTCTCAGCTGAGTCATATTAGACTTGTATGTTTCTGTATGCTTGTATGCAGGAAAGCTTCTGTTGTTTTCGCTGCTCAGTTCTAATTCAGGACAAATGCATGAGGGGTTTACCGCTACATGTGCCGGTGCCCCTACAGAGCCCACTGTGTTTTGCTGAGCTGTGCTGGGATGTAGAAAAGTGGAATGCAGCCACGGACAGGGATCATAAAAAGAGTTAATGTATGGCAGACTCCTTACGGTCTGCACATACAGACACGTGTATACATACATGTGATTCTCTTGAGGCTAAGAACGTGATCTGAGATGCATGTGGATGCAGTGTGATATATAAGCACTTTCTGCTAAGAGGATGACGACATAAAAAAAAAAAAGGCTTACTTTCCAACTTCATCAATGACAGGAGCTGGACACAGTAAGAACGTGTCTTCTACTCCGGCCGGCTTTTCATCTGGAGGGCAAAGACAGCATATTGATAAATGTACTGAAAGATTACTGTAAACTATAGACACTATATAGACAGGGATAAAACAGCCAGAGATTGATCATATAGACTTCAGACAGGGACCAAAAGATATTTAGTGTGATTTAGTGTGACCATTTTCCTGCCATACAATAAGAAGTCTTTTACAATTCTCAGTGCAAATGTGTTCTGTTTTCTCCAGAGGTTATTTAGTTGTCCCATACGTTCACATGAGGAATACACAAGTTCATAAAAGATGAGAAAGTGGTTTTACTCACTGACTGTGATGGTATCATTGATTTTGAAGCTGCAGAGCACCTGGTCGATGTTCCTGGCATGAAGAAACCCGTTTCCTCTCACCACCACTTGGAACGACTCTGGTTATACAACACACATTAACATTATTACATTTCAAACACTTGGTGGGTATTTGAAACTGTATATGTTATACATGGAGCTCATTTTCATCTCGCACCCAGCCTGGCTAGGAGGCACGTCTTAAATATAGTTTCTTACATATGGTATGAAAAATATACTACACGCTGGAGGAGTTGTGCCGATAGGGCTTTTTTTTTACATTTTGGGGGAATTTCTCAAGAAATAATGCAGAGATATGCATGAAAAAAATCCATTATAGGGTTATATCTATGAACAGGTGTTGGGTGTACCACAGGGAAGATACTCTGATGTCTATATGTTTATAAACCTGCAGGACTGAACTGAATAGTAAAGCGCCTGATGTAACAGAAGGCCAGTGAATACTGTTGAATTTGAAGTGAAATGCTTTCCCCTTTAAATGGTAAAAGTTATTCACTGCTTAATAAAATGCCAAAGCAGATGTGAAAAACAGTAAAAGTCCTTCTGCTTATATGCCAAAAATGTTTTATTGACTTTTATCTGTTCGTTTGTGCCTATTAATGTTGCTTGTTAAGTCATAATCTTTCTGTTGGCCTGACACTGAAGGATGTTGTCTAGTTTATATTTCGATCTCAGCCAGTCTAACCACTGCCTCTCTCAAACTGATTTTCCCACTTTTCCCACTGCGGGACTCTGTCCCAGTAGATTTCCTGTACATACATGGTCACTTTTCAGTCTGGAAGCATCATTTACTTAAGTGAGAGACTGAGCGATGAGGTAACAAGTAACAAAATTAACATTCTTGGAGAAAAGATGAATAACACACTAACATGTAAACAGCATTTTCTTATTAACCTGAATGAGGTCATACTTGGAATAATCAATGATTTTGAATTAAAACATGAGTATTCTGCCCTTAGTTACATTATGTATAAGTATATGAAACAGGTATATGTCTTAATCAGTTTAGACAATTATGTTGGAGTTTGCGACATCAACATGTATACCAGTTACCAACTGATTGACGACATATTGCTTGGGATGAATTGAAACAAGTTGTGGGACATAATTTTGACATTGGTCATAATCATGACATGTAAACACGAATATGACAGGAAATCTATTAGCAACACAACGAGACATCATTATCAAAATAATGTCTTATTCAGAATGAGGAATATGTAAACCATGTCCATGTAAACACTATCTCAGAACCCAGTGGCTATCATCTGACGGGACCCAGTTCAGCTTTTGTATGTGTGGGATTGAGAGTGTGTGTTTCGATCTTCTCACCTCCTGCACAAACACTGGACGGCTCAGCTGCCAGGATTTCAATGCAGGATTTCTTGATGATCTGCAGGAGCGAGGAGATTAGGATAGGCAGGTTTTTTTCATTTCACTGCAGCAATGACTTTGCGATAAAATAGTTTGTTCCTCTGCTCCAAGATCTTTCTTGGTTCCAACAACCCTAGCCAGCTGCTCCTGGAAAAGCACATCTTCGCCAAACAGTTCGATGCACTAAAGCTGTTGTAATGTTAAGATTGAAAACATACATCATCAGCACAGTAAAAGATAAAGATGGGAATGACTGGTTGTTGAGCATGTGTATTTTCCTGAAGTTAGATCTTTAATATCCAGTAAAAATGATGTTAATGATGTAGAGCACATCAACCATTTAGACCGGATGTAACATATGCGTGTATATACCTTTAAGAAAGCATGAGACATATGCAGGTTTCTACTGATAGACTATAGGAAGAAGCCTCTATAGGGCTCTATACTATAGAGCCAGATGAGACATGTGCGAGTTTTATATGATGTCATAGTTTTCAAATACATTGTGAAACTTTGCGTTTCAGGCCATGGCTGTTGATCTAAGCACTGCCCAAGGCTCAGTCGGTAAGAGACGTGTTTGAGGAAGAAGAGGGGATATCAGAGAGTTTGTTGGCTTAATTGTTTGTTTTTTTAAACCGTTCACTAAGTTTAGGGGAAATTAATGATTTGCAATAAAAGCCAAATGTTTTCGAAACACTTTAAAAGGCTGAGAAATTATTTTTTATAACCTTTGACAATTCTGTCAGCTCTTCAGAAAACGCTCAGGTTTCAGGTTGTTGTTTCCAAGCAATGCTTAGCTTTTAGAGTGCATTTTTATTAAGCTCCTTAAGTCTTAATGGGTTAAATAAATGAATGTGGTCATCTGCACGGCTGCCAGGGTTGTGCACAGAGAAGTGTTAATTTACCGAATCAATGACTCCCCGGAGGGCATGGAAGCCACCCAGGACAGGAAACACATGCTCGATGGTGTCTGCAATGGTGGCCAGCTTCACGGAGAGGTGGTAGACGGAGGGGAAGAAGGGGAGAAGAATAAAAAAATTAAAAGAGAATAAATAAATAAATCCAAATGAAATTGAAATGAAAAATGAGTATGTTACATTAATAATCACGTTATTCACAATCACGTAATGACTCAATTTACCATCAATCAAATGGGGCTTGAACTCCACTTGAGGGAGCTGGTTGAAGCCAACTGTGTCTGATTACTGAAGGTCAACCACAACAATCCTGCAGCTCTCAAATATCATGAAAATACCTGAACCCTCGTCTGCATCATGTTGAAGTTAAGGACACACACACATCTCTAGTCTAGTCCTGTGTGTTTGTGTCTGCAGCAGAACTCAGAACCAGCGCAGAGGTAAAAAAAAAAAAAAAAACCAGATTGCTTTTCAGAAATTTTAAATTATGGATTAGCCAAATTGCACTGGGGCCACAACATGGAGCATTTGGGACATTTCTACAACCCTGGAATCACACTGTTCAGTATATGCATGGTAAATTGTAGCTGGTATGTAGATAATTACAATGAAGCTATAATATAGTACAGATTTGTTGTGGTTGGAATGGGTATTACCTGTGTCTCATTGAAGTCTTTGACACCAACGCAGTACACAATAGCTCCAAGAGACCTGGCTCTCTCTGCCTGTTTTTACAAAAAGGAATACATTTAATATTTGAACTTTAAGCTGTGATGGGAATGGGAGTGTCCCTGCATCCAGAGCTGTCAATATAAGCAAGTAAGAAAAAGGCCGTATGAAGTCATTACCTCTAGCTGTGCATCGATGAGCTGATGCTCCTGCAGCTCACCATCTGTCAGTGCAATAATCACACTGGCCGTGCCTGCAAAAAGCAAATAAGAGCTGTGTTACAATTGCAGCAAAACCAAATTTTGCCTGAAGTGAGAATTCATAGAAAATTGTGGTTTGATGCTTACCAAAGTTCTCATGGTATATCTGCTCATTTGCCTTTAAACCAGAAGATATTGTCATGTTCAGATTGACAGGAAATATAGAGACATCGTGTTTAAAGAAGGAATTCAGTGAATTTAGATTTTAGGTAAAAAAATATAAAAACAAAAAAAGGCTGACCCTCTGCAATCCAAGGTGCATGAATGTGTCTCCACCTGGAATCTCCCTTTTCAGAGCATTCAGCCCCTTTTTGATGTCAACTCTGCAGAGGAGACACAGCAGAGCAGATTTGTGATGAAGACACATTTAATCTGCAGTTTTGTCCATTTGTCAAATTAACTACATGTAGTTACAATTCAATCAATAAAACGTGATAAAAGATTAGACTCGTGGTTTCTAGTGGACGAGGGGCTTATGGCCTCCCACACAACAGTGTCTGATTGGGGTCTCCCACCTCTCGCTAAACCTAAACAACAAATTTAAAACTAGCTCAACTTTTACTTGCTGCAACAATAAGTCAACTGACACAATGATTAGCCTTAACAAAGACTGAGAATTAAGTATATTTTGGAAAAAATACATCAGTTTGATAATGAATTATGTCAACAGAGTATATGAGCCACACCTTCATATCATTTATATAATTTACCTGTTTTCTGTTAGTTTCATGATGGTGGATGCTCTGGAGGAGAAAGTTATGAAGGACATTCTCAGCATTGGACTAGAATAGGAAAAAAAAAAGGGGGGGGAGAGAGAGAACATTTCAGCCCATCCAGTATTCAGCAGCTCACAATATAACACAAATATCTCAACAGATTTACTGGTTACAGATCAGATGAACAAAGAATGATAGTAACTGCTTAACACAGAATTCAACGGCATTTGGTTGCTGGCTGGTGGTTAGCCACCTTGCACAACATGGAGTATACATAAAACAAACACTTCTACACCATCTGAGGTTCATTATTTCAATTACCTCAACACTTAGCTTCATGAAGACGAAAGCAGCACATTGTTTTCCCCATAAAATAACTGGCAGTAATCTGCCATGTGTTTTCCTTCCATGCCAGGATTAAAATTGAACAAAGTAAGGGTCCATTTATTGCAACAATTATTATCTTAGTGATGATTAAATAACCTCACAGTCTGCGTATGAATTATTCAGATGTTTTGAAGCTCAACCCCACAGTTTTACACACAAAGTGACACCATGCATGGTACCAGAGAGTAGGATTTAGCACCCTGTTCGTGACCATGACTCTGTTGTTGACACTCAAACTATGTCAGAATCCTCAGATGTTAGTTTATTGGTGAGATTTATTAAAGAGATTATTTGCATGTAAACACACACAACTATCTAATGTGTAAAGTGATGTTTCGGAGACAAATTAAGTTATTGCAGGTTTGCAATGTTTAAAACTGCCTCATGTTTGTTCCAAACTGAAACTTTTAAGAGAGCTGATTATTTGTGTTGGTTGAACCACAAAGTTCTAAGTGTTGCCATGGCAATACGGACTGATATATTGCATTTTATTCAACCACATACCAAAAGGCAGAATATGTTTAAAGGGATTCAATGGAGCAGTTTTGCTCAAATATGAAAATAAGATAAGGCCACTTCCAGCTACAGTGTTGCAGCAGATTGACAACACCTTGTCTATCCATCCATGCATTATTTATGCAGCTTATTGTTTATGGGCCACCAGGGGGTGGAGTGGGCTGGAGCCAAACCCCGGCTCACATTGGGTGAGAGGAGGGGGACATCCTGGACAGGTTGCCAGCATAATGCACAGCCAAAATATAGATGTCAACAACTATTCCCCGCTCACATTCAGACACATAGAACCTTCTTGCTGTGAGTTAACAGTGCAAATCACTGTATCAGGATCAGTCTAAAGAAACTGTAAAACCAAGACTGGTCATATACTACATAGAGAACCCCAGACATCAGTGATGCTACTGCAGAGACAGAGTGAAGCGGCTCCATAGATACTAAATGACTTTGCATATGGCCGGTTGTAGCTGAGGGGACAGATTTTATTTTACTTTACCAGAGTGACTGGTTTGTTAACTGTGGGTTTCTCTTCAGACATCTACATCTCCGGGCTCCAGGAAGTCGAGTTGAGGCAATAAGAGGCTGTTTCATTTCCTTCAATGAGCAATCCAGTTGTGAATCCTTTTCCCATGTTACACTGCAGACAATCCTCCTATGTACTCACAATACATGTTTTAAATAATCTTACCTTTTGAATTTCTCAGCTAAGTTCTCCACAAAGTAGTAGATTTCGTCCCAGTGATTCTTCACACTGCCAGACCTAAGAAAAGGAAACAGGGAAATGATTAAAATAAAGTAACAGCTGTCTAAGAAAGAATGTCTGAAGTAAATCATCTCTTAAACAACTTCAAACAACCTGAGTTGTTCAGTGCTTTTAATGATATTGTTAGTATAACAGCAGGTAACCTGATTTATGGTCCTTATTAGCCAGCACACTTGGATAACATGAGATAGCGGTTGTAAAATATGATTTATGTATTTCTGTGAGATGCAAACGATTTATTTGTTCGGCAAGAACTCAAACAAAAGACTAAGTTTATGGGAGAGCATTCAAATCAGAAAAACACAAATTTGTTTGCCAAACGTGTCAGGGGGTAAAACCATTAGCTCCAAAACATGAAGAGCAAGCTCTCTGTGTACTGGGAAAAATATTATTTACTTTTATTCCCTCAAGATGGGGCATGCTATCCTTTATCTGTTGAAGGGATATTTATGTAACACAAACACAACTTGATGGATAAGTTGAGACAGTTTGTCTGCACTGCACAAAAGGGGCCTGTAATGTGCTGGTGAGATAAAAGAGGCTGGTAGCACGGTGTGGCGTGTAATTTAGCACCCCCCCTGGATCCAGAATGAACCCCTGAAGGAGGAAACAGGCCCCATGTCTCCCCAGGGGAACCTCCATAAAACTAGAGTCATATAAAAAACAACTCCCTGTGGAGCTAGCCTTATTTCCTCTGGGCAGGCTGTGTGTGTGTGTGTGTGTGTGTGTGGCAATTTTATTAAGTTTGATCATTAAGGGAGAGGGCTGTCATGATATGACCAGTCAGCAGGTCACTCGTTAGCTAATGAGTGACCCAGAGAGATGACACATGGGAAATGAGCTAAATGACTGTGGTAAAACTAGAGGCCTGTTTAGAGGTGGAAGCTGACATAGAATAAAGAGCAAGGCTGACTAAATGTTATTCTAGGCGCTGACTAACTGATGTAATGGCATTAGACACGCTCTAACTGGCCAACATGGATGTGTTGCTGTTGCCTTGTGTGGGGACTCCAAAAAATGATTTATTGATCAACTTCAATTTAGTATCATTCAGTCCACTGAGTCTTTGTTTCTGCACAAACGCAATGTTAGGAGTTTCTTCATCTTCATTGTGACTGCAAGAAGCACTTTAATTAGTGATATTCAAAAAGTAAATGATAATCTCTTCCAAGGAGGCTATGTTTTCATCCCTCTCCATTTGTTGGTTGGTTTGTATGTTTACACCAAAACTGCTGGACAGAAACTTAGTGGAACGATGCAGGAAAGCACTCATTAAAATTTAGTCCAGATCGAACAGCAGATCCAGGATTCTTTTTTCACTTTCTTCAACATTGTGAGATATGTGCTTTTCAACATTTTCACTGATTCATGGAATAATGATCATATTTAGGGGACTGTGTGCAAATTGGTGCAGGTTGGGCCTTGGTAGACATTTGTGTTCTACTGAGGGATATTCTTGTTTTTAAATAACATTTTACTCAAAATAACTATCTAGACTAATTATGTAACAAGGCAAATAATGTATTTTCACTAATACACACATTTGGTCATGTGTGTTTTAGAAAATAAATGGCGACCTTGTGACTCTGTTATCTTAGCTTACCTTGAAGTAAGTTCCTCCATTCCTAGCAAACTAAAAAAATCAGTCTGAGAATTTTGTCTAGACAAAATAAACAGAGGGAATCATTTCTCACATGTGAGCTTCCAATACCTTGAGCTAAGATGACAAGACAACTTTTGTTCATTTGATGAGATTACAACTAACTTGGCAATCTTTTATATTCAGCACAATTGATTTAGGAACCAACTGAGATTTACTCTACAAGCTGGTAAACAGCTACAGCTACACCAGCTACAGGACCAAAACATCAAATCAAAGTGAATTGTAACTTATGTTATTTGTCTGCTATTCAGTGTTGAATACCGTGTGGTGCATTTGTGTTATTGCTCCAGCAGTGGAGGGGGTCATTATATGGTCACACTGGGATGGGGTTTAGACACAGCCAAGGAATATGAGGGACTTTCCCATCATGCCTTAGTCATTCAAGGCTTTTTGATCCTGCCAAACCGAACTCTGGATCTGTATTAAATGTTATGTTTGGGCGACTCAATGAACTTTGTTTTGTTGCCTTGTAAGCCCTGTTTTAAAAAGACAATAAGACTGCTTGTATTATCTTTAAGACATCAATATATTAGTTCAGGATTGCTTTTTCAGATGATGAGATGTCAACATTTTCTGAAAGATCTGCATAAACAAGCTACAATTGCTGACTGGGTGAGAATCAGCACCTTGCCAAACGTCAGCATGAGAAATTCCAAAGAAAACAAACACATTGATCGCCCGAGCTGAAGGCAAGCTGGTACAAAGGAAGTAGGCATAATGTAGAAATTAATTGGACCATTGCACCAAAACTGCCAAAGCTTGAGGATCAGGTTTGGGTTCCCATGGGCCACCCATGCTGGAACATCCAGCAAAGCATCCACAATAACATATACATGTTATGTAAGCTTCAATTTTCCCCCCCATCTAGCTTGGACCGATACAAATACTGGTCAACTTAACGTCTTATGCCCAATTTTTCTTAGATTTACTGTTGTTCTGATGACACAACTTGTTCCCCACATGAAGGCTTTCACATTCCTGTGAGGCTGATGGAGCAGATTAAAAGGACAAGACCTTACAAGCTAAACAAAAAACTCTCCCAAAACAAAAAAAGCTTGAGGTGAAGGGTTTGAGGGGTGTTTAGCTTTGAATGTGCAGCATCAACAGAAATGGTCACACGAGAATTGCACAGGCAGACACAGAGAAACAGCCTCTGACCTGAAGGAACTGCAGGAGCCAGTTTCTCTTGCAGATTGTTCCAATACAGCAACAGTGGAGGGGAAAAAGAACATTACGTCTGGTAAAACTTAACTGGGGCGAACAGTTATGTAGAGGTGTGGGGATCATTTTTGACTATTTATTTAACATCAGGGTGAATCTGAGGACTCCCACCTTTGGTTTTCAGCTGCTTATCTTTGTTTCTGAACCACCACAGCTCTTGTTTGCCTTGGAAAACTTAGGGTTGTTTGAGGTGGGTCCAGTCGTGGGACCGAAACCTAGCTTGCAGTTTCACTCACCTGTTCAAACACTACTGGGAGAGGAAGTGGGTCATTTTATTCTATGATTCTTGATGAAACTATTTTATGCGTTGCCCTTTTTTCCCTCCTCAATTGTTTGATCTAATTTTATTACTCTGAGCTGAGCTCTGATGTCTGAGACACAGAGAATAAAGGTTATGAGAGGTGAAGGTTGTTATGAGGTGCAGGCGGAGTGATTGCACCCGACAACAGTTTGAATTTGTGTCATTGCAACTTGTCAAAGCCAGGCCAGCAAAATGAAAAGCATGTGTCTGGCTCTCTGCCATCCACGTTAGGATAATCCAAAGAGAACAAAAGGAAGGATGAAGGGAAGGAGCATGGGAAAGACAAAGTGCCTTATCGTTGAGATTACAGTAAATGTAGCTGAGTAGGAGTGAGATAATGTGAAGAATATGTTGGCTTTATTTTCTGTCTTGTCTGCCAGAGGAAACATGGCCATGAGTGGATGAAAAATTGGCCAGGTCTGTGGCAAACGGGTCAAAACATCCTTTCTCACGCACCAACACCAGCTGACGAGCAAAACAAGGAGTGCACTACTGCTGAAATCCCTCTGCGGTATTTATCTTTTTTTACTTATTTCAACTGGGTCCATGGCATTGATCAGCAAAACTGTTAATCTGCCAGTGTTTACAGCTGTTTGAAAGACTTTGAATCTAAAGGAAAGCTACAGGAAAAGGACCAAACAATAATCTTTCAGCTATTGTTTTTGTTTAAGAGCCCATAACCTTGGCTCAGTCTTTAATATTGATTAAGGTTCCTTCATTTGACGCCTCAAATATAGGACCCTAAAGCAGCCAATTTGAGATGTTTTTAATCTGTTTAGTTTCTTCGTCCACTCTCAAGTACCCAGCAGACACTTCTGTCCCCGAGGGCACTGGGATGACGGCATGTGGGAAAAAGCTCTGTTGGCCTAAAGATTTAGCTGCTCTCAGCTTTGTTCTCACGGTTCAAAGTGTCGAAGGAAGGGAAGAAAATAAATCCAAACTCTGCTAAGGCTGTCTACCATTACAGCTGGGTCTACCCCCAGTCCTCACCAACATGTCCTGTATCCAATGATGGTGCTCCAATTTAACTGACTGGGCACAAGGATTTGTTTGTTTAAAACCACTAACTACTTTTACAGCCATTGCAAAATTCAAAGTCTTTATTGCATGATTTCTGAGCTAATGCTGTGCGTCCATTCCAAACCCGAGAGGAATTGTTTGAAAAAAACTACTGGATAACTAAATGGTGAAGAGGCATTTAAGATGTGTATCCAATGATACTGATTTTTCTACTAAAGTCTTTCTCTGATCATTTAAATATGTCATTTATAATGCACTTTTTCTGTTGATTGAGGCAGAGTCATATATCAAATATTATGCGAAGGCTTGGATTACAGTTAGAATTACTTGCCTGAAGGACTTATATCATGTAACAAGACACTACTACTGAAAATACCAAAGAAACACCCTGTGAAACGCCAAATTACAAAACACTCAGTGCCTGTCATTCCACAGCCAGACATATCTTAGTATTTATGGACTGCAGCTGCAGTTCAGGTTTTTTCGCTGACTTGCCTGGATTCAGGCTTCATGGCCGAACGCCCAACCAGAGTCCTAACTTATGATTGCATCAACAACAATAAAAACATGATCTCCAAAGTAAAGACAAGACAGAAATCATAGCGTTTGACATACAGATTATTATTATTAATAGCAGCTCAATACTTTAGTGTGAGAACAGTGTATGTCACCATCTAGAAACTGCATTAACTACAAGTAGAGTAATGTAGGTCTGCTGGAAATCTGCTGAAAAGAGAGATGAATGGAAAGGGCTTGGGGGAAAGAATGGCAAAAAGATGAGACATAGGCAGA